TAGGTCTATATATAATATATATATATATATATATGAATATATAAGACTACATATATATAAGACTATATGTATGTAGGTATGTACGTACGTATATATATACATTTGCATATGTATATATTCACACACACATATATATATATAAATATATATATATATATATGTATGTATGTATGTTATATATATATATATATATATATATATGCATATGTATATATTCACATTATATAGACCTATTCATATATATACATGTATGCATATATATATATATTTACATACATGTATGCATATATATATATATATATATGAACTTATATATATAGACCTACATATATGTCTATGTATAGATATATATTTTATATATAGTATATAAATATACAGATCTATATATATATTTCTAGACTTATTATGTAGACATTCTGCTGTCAATGCAGACACATTAACCAACTGGGCCGTTGAATATTTGTTGGTAATTAAAAAAATGCGACTAAAAGCACTAATTCTTCACACTCATGTGCATGCGTAGTTGGACAGCACTAGTCCTTGATGCATGCCAATTAACAGAGATCAATATTATACGCCTTCTTTTTACGGGATCTCCGAAAAAAGTATCTACTCCCCAAGACCAGTCAGACTGATGATGTGTCCTGGATTGACGTTAAATATTGTCATACAAAATATGTCCTGTAGAAATGATTTTTTTTTTTTTTAAGACAATAAAGCCTGTCCGGGATGACTGACAACATTCACAATCGTAGAATCAGTTATTTATTTAAAATGTATGTTCATGACTATAGCAGCCTGGTGAAAGCTTGCCTACCCTCCCAGGAGAATGGTCAGTTACTTATTTTCAATAAATAGAAACTATCAGTGGTCACTCCATTAAATTGAATGTATACCTCGCCATACGGTATGCCTAAAAACATTTTTTTAAATAGAATTTTATTTAAAGACCTTTGACCTTTTACTTCTAAATTCACCCCTTCCTTAAACCATTATGTGCCGCTCCAATATGTTTTATGGTCGTCCATTCGTCAGTTGTAATAGAATGTCATATTAAGGCCTAATGATACTTTTTGATATTTAGACCTGCTACCCTTCCACCCCAAATGTATTCCCCTTATTTTTAAACCCCTATGTACTACTACTTTTGTTTTTATAATTATTAGTTTTCACGTCATCCTTATTAATTTGGTCTTTTAATTGTTTGACTTTGACATTGACACAATTTATATCCATCCATCAGCTATACTTTAATAATCCTGGAGCACTTTGACCAGGACAATATCATATAAAACAATTTTAAATAGAACCAATATATTTTTCAACTTTAGGAGATCACAATATCGTGACTTCACGCTAAAAGAGATAACACGTGACACAGATGCCCAGCAGATGTTCAATTTTGTGCAGACAACATCTCTTTCCCGTCAAAATTCGACAACAACCAGAAACGGCCACCATTGCAAATTTCAGATTCAAGTTCTCAAGACATATGTGAAACAGATTGATGTCAGAAATTTGATAGACTGTAAACTAGATGAAAAATCTCCAATAATGAGAAGAAAACTGAAAAAGTTTTTTGTCATCGACGAATGTTGGATGGCAACTGAAGCAAGGTGTTCCGTAATTTTTGGCGACACACTCAGTGATACTACATCAACAAGGTATTGTGTTAAACGTTTATGTCCATTTGCGTTCCACGTCGTTCAAGTTTCTGTAAATAAGAAAGGATTAGTGACAAATGTAAGTTTTGACATCAAAGAAGATAAGTTGCCGACTTTTCAGCGCATCATTATACCTGTAAAGGAATTCTTCCTTACTAGATGAAGTAGACATAATCCTAAACGTATTTGAAAGACTACATGTTCTATAGTAGTCCAGGCCTACTACTCAGGAGTAGGCTTAGAACGTATATCATAATTAATGTTTTACTGTTTATACTTTCTGTATGAATTTATGTTTATTCGGTATAAAGTCAACTACGGTATAATAGAAATTTACAATAATACAGAATAATAATGAAAGACTATATATATACTGTCTCTTATACACATCTAGATGTGTAGTATATTAAACATTATAGAGTATTTCTTTAAATTTATCTAACATGATTTTAAAATAGGTCCAGGTGCTTATATTGATCATTACTTTATTGTATTCATTTCATTCGAATATAATTAAACACGCGGTGTTGTGTTGTATTTCGCAAAATGTGTAATGAATTGTTGATAATGGACTCTAATTGACCAGTGGCTTATCTAGGGGGGAGGGGGATCGATGATCAGTTGAGGGGCGCTAATTCGCAAAATGTGGTGATTTTAGGTAATTTTTAACTACTTGACCGTGATTCTTTTTTAGGGGGTGGGGAAACTATGGGCGCCCTCCCCTAGATACACCACTGTAACTGACATGGCCTATGTAAGTTTCTGGCTAAATTGGGTGATTTGAATAAAATTGCAGTGATACGATATTGGCTACGGTCACACAACGCGGGTGAGATTTCAAGCCAGGCTCGAAATTCTGGGTCGGTCACACTAGTTGGATTGACCTCCAAATTATGAAAGTCGAAACAGCAGAGCCGTAAAGAGAGAGTTTGGCCAACTCTGTTTCACGGGATTAGATATACGCGCGTGTGATTGGATGGATCGCAATCAAAGATTTTACACCAGACGTGCCCGAACCACTCTTCTTCAACTGATCTTTTATCAACTTGTATTGGGCTCGCAATGCCTTCACTTTTCTTTGAATTTGGGCCGTTGTTCTCTTCTCATGTCCGAGACTGGCTAATCTGTCAGCAAGCACGCCAAAAATTCCCGTTTTGTTGTTTGTTTTTTTATTTTCTATCCGGTCTCTCAGCTGGGGTTGGCCTCACAAATCTACCAGGTCAGCAGTTTCCTGGTCGCTCCAAATCAATTGCATTATTATTAATTAAAATTTGAATTAACTTTTATGAAAAGTAATGATTGCGTCTTGATTGAACACGCATGAAGAACTCGCGGGTTTTTTATTCAAGAACTTCTAAACGCAACGGCGTCATCGACTGTGATTGG